GCACAAGTCTGTTGGGAGTTATGCCGACTTGAAAACTGCCCGCTGCATCCCAGAGCCCATTGTAGCCTCATTGGCACATGTTTCTGTTTCATCAGAGCTTGCCATCTGTGGGAAGAATATGATTAGCTCACAAGCTTCTGGTTTGTGTAATGATCGGACCACAAACCCACACAGGACCGGATTCAACAGAATAACAAGAGTATTGCAAAAGGAGCAATGCTTTGATTTTTAGACCAAAGCAGTGCTTGGAATTACGACAAGAAGCAACCGGCAGTTCAATGATTGGTGAGTATAACAGCACTGGAAAGTCCAGGTTCAGCCTCCACTCACCCATCAGTTTGCTGTTTTGCCTGGGTTGGTACAGTAAATTAAGCAGTAATATGGCTGGTTTGGTTTAGGGCAGCGGTTCTCAACCTATGGGTCGTGACCCCATTTGGGGTCGATCGACCATTTCACGGGGGTCGCCAAGCAAGGCTGTCCGCCATTTTTTCCCCTTTTTCCGGCGGGTGCCTTACCTCCCTTGGGCTGGGCCAGCTGGTGGTCGGCCTGCTCCATCTCTGCCGCTTGCCAGCTACGCCTCGGCCGGTGCAGGGGGCGGAACCACGCATGCGCGGTGCTCCCGGTCAGGGAAAGTCCTCGACTTACGACCGGTTGGGTAGTCCTCGACTTACGACCGGTGTAGTCCTCGACTTACGACCGGTGTAGTCCTCGACTTACGACCGGTGTAGTCCTCGACTTACGACCGGTTTAGTCCTCGACTTACGACCGGTTTAGTCCTCGACTTACGACCGGTTGGGGTCACGGCATTAAAAAGGTTGAGAACCACTGCATTAGTTTATGTATTCAATGACCAACAGGCACAGCCAAAGAGCCATATGTGGCCCATGGGCCATACAACGCCCAGGGTAGGAGTCACAGCGGCAAAAGCCCAACTTAAGGTTCTTCAGGCTTGCCAAGGTCAAGAAACCCTGTTCTACATTGTTCAAAATTCATTGGAGTCACCCATCCAGAGTGGGCCAGGAAAAACAGTTGCAGGAATTGGCCATGTCTAATCTAGTTTAATAAAAAAAAAAGATTAGGTGAGATGGGATAGCAGTTTTCCAATATTTGAGGGGCTGCCACAAAGAAGAGGGAGTCAACCTATTTTCCAAAGCAGCCGAAGGCAAGGCAAGAAACAACGGATGGAAACTGAACAAAGGAGAGAGAGAAGTAATCTAGAACTAAGGAGAAATTTCCTAACAGTGAGAAGAATTAACCAGGTGAACGGCTTGCCTCCAGAAATCATGGGCGCTCCCTCACTGGAGGCTTTTATGAAGAGACTAGACAGCCATTTGTCTGAAACGGTATAGGCTCTCCTGCTTAAGCAGGGGGTTGGACTAGAAGACCTCCAAGGTCCCTTCCAACTCTGTTATTCCGATTCAATGGAACTCCTTAATAGACAGGACCTGTAATATATCCTCATCTACCATGGGTAGATGTAAGAGGGTAGACCTGCAGATAAGTCATGGTGACGCAGTGGTTGGAACAGGAGTACTTAACCTGTGGGCCGCGGCCTGGTAGTGGGCCATGGCCTGCTGGCCACCGGACAGGCTGGCCAGTGCGTGCGCGTGTGTGCACCCCCCCTCACGTGCACCAGTGCCGCTGCCGCAGGGCATGGAAACAGGACGCCATACCGCGGGGCGTAAAAATGGGATGCCACCACACCTTACAGTGTGAAAACAGGATGCCACCACGCTGCAAGGTGCAAAAATGGACGCCACCGCACCACCTGGAAACAAGGCACTGCTCCACACAAGAACGGGGCAGGGTTAGTGATCATCACGTGGGTGCTTGCGGCCCCATGCACACACACACGCATGTGTGTAAAATGCTTCCCTCTCCCTTTTCCTTCGGTCTGTCAACCAAGAAAGGTTGGTGACTTCTGGGTTAGAATGCAGTATTGCAGACTAATTCAGCTCAGTGCCAGGAATTCGATTCTCACCGGCTTAAGGTTGACTCAGCCTTCCACCCTTTTGAGGTCAGTAAAATGAGGACCCGGATTGTTAGGGCACTGCTTAGAGAGGGCTGTAAAGCACAATGAAGCAGTATATAAATCTTAAGTGCTACTGGTATAAGTCCCTGAGGATCAGGTGTTTCTAGGTTTTGTTTTTTTTAAAAAACCAAACAAACAAAACCAAAATCTGAAATTCCATTACAGTCACTTTTTGACTTACAACATTTAACAACTGTGGGGCTGTCGGTTGCAGCAATCCGAAAAATATATGGTCAAAATTTGGGTGCTTGGCAACTGGAGTATGTTGATGAGGGTTGCTGTCGCCATTTGCAACTTTCTTTGCCTAACTCCTGCATGATTGGCTTAACAACCATAACAGGAAAGGCCATAAAATCAGATGCAACTCACTTAACAACTGCTTTGCTTAGCAACGGAAATTCTGGTCTCAATTGTGGTTGTAAATCAAGGACTACCGGTTGTTAAATATGGATTCAAAGTATCTAAATGCCTGGACTAGAGAATCTGATACCTGGTTCAAATCTCCATTCAGGATATTAATCGGCATGTCTACCTGAGCTACTCAACCACAAATGGGCAAAAGTGTCTCAAACAATTCAGAAACTGCACTTTAATGAATCACCCATAAAATGAGGGTCAGACATTACTATTAGCTGTGGGGTCCTTGGTGCTCTCTGAGCTTGGTGGTTTATTTGCAGATTATGGTAATACTGCATATTATATACTGCATCCAGTTTTGGTCACCACGATGTAAAAAAGATGTTGAGACTCTAGAAAGAGTACAGAGAAGAGCAACAAAGATGATTAGGGGACTGGAGGCTAAAGCATATAAGGAACGGTTGCAGGAATTGGGTATGTCTAGTTTAATGAAGAGAAGGACAAGGGGTGACGTGATAGCAGTCTCCCAATATCTCAGGGGTTGCCACAAAGAAGAGGGAGTCAAGCCATTGTCCAAAGGGCCTGAAGGCAGGACAAGAAGCAACGGATGGAAACTAATCAAGGAGAGAAGCAACCTAGAACTAAGGAGAAACTTCCTGACGGTGAGAACAATTAACCGATGGAACAACCTGCCTCCAGAAGCTGTGAATGCTCCAACACTGGAAGTTTTTAAGAAGAGACTGGACCGCCATTTATCTGAAATGGTTTAGGGTTTCCTGCCTGAGCAGGGGGTTGGACTAGATGACCTCCAAGATCCCTTCCAAATTTATTATTATTGTTGTTGTTGTTATTAACCTTGGCTTTTTTATGACTCGTGGACTTCAACTGAAGTCCACGAGTCATAAAAGAGCCAAGGTTGCCTACCCCTGCATTAAACAAACGATTGTAAACCAAGGACTACCTGTGTCTAGCTGTTGAATTCAGAAGCATTTAAATGTGTGACATCTCCCTAGCTGCACTCTTCTTTCAATTGGGTCAGTCCTCACATTTTATGAGAAAACTCCATATATCCTGGGCGCTGCTTATCACCACTCCAGTCCAAAGGATATCTGAAAAGGTTAAATCATGGCAAAATTTACAATTGAACTTTGGACGATCAGTTCAATTGGATGATTGAACCTTCATTTTACATACTCCAAAGGATACAACCCCTCCATATTCTGCCTAGCACACAGGGCAGGGAAAGAACAGCAGCCTGGATGGCTGTGGAGTCTGTTCCCACATTCAGAAACGTCTCCAACTCTTGCGTCCGGCCTTCACGCTTCACTCCGCTCCAGGAAAGGCTGAAGGGAAGAGTAAATTCTTCCGAGGGAAGAGTAAAGACTGCGAACTAACGTGTGGGACTGCGAACTAACG